AAATGTGGTGCCCAACAGGACACACTACTGCAGATGAGGCCTTATTAGCGCTGAGTAGAGTGGAAGATTTACTTCGTGTCTTGTTTACAACACTCCTCCTAATACATCCCAGAATGATGTTCACTCTTTTTGCAACAGTATCACATTGTTGACCTGTATTTAGTTTATCCACTTTAACCCCCAGATCCTTGTCTCCCTTACTCCTTCCGAGGCAATTATTTCCGAGTTAGTGTTTGTGCAATTGATTCATGTTGCATGAAGGGGGAAAAAAACAAATAATTTTAACTCTGGCTTTAGTTTGCCAACCTAACCAGTGGCATCTTTAGTTAATCTTTTGGATCACATTCCAGTTGTTACTATCCTTTTAAAATGGTATTTATCCTGCCAGATGAGTGCTTTTCAAGCTCTGTTTAGAATAAAGTGAGGAGAAAATGGGGGACAACTCTTATCTTTAGAGATTTAACATATGTAATGCTTGTGTGTGATTAGCTTTTGAGGCATAGTCAAGTCAGGCATGCAAAAAACTGCTTTAAAAATCTTGGTATCCCATGTAGAGGAAAATATCACTGCTGTAACATTTAGAATTTGTACCCCATGATAAAATATAGCACAAATATAGACAATTCCTATGCACCGTTAGTTGATTTAGTGCTTAGAATATTAAGGGATGCTGTCAACAGGAAAAGCATATTTTTGAGCTTCCTAAAGAAATGAATATTTCAAAAAGCACTTGCTAGTTTTTTTATTTTTCTCTTTTTCTAGGACTAGATTTTCAAAATAGCAGCACATTGTGGCTGTGGGACAATATGTACACATAGTTGCGCGTCTTACTATTTTTTAAATTTATTTTGAAAATCTGTCCCTAGAAATATGCCTCTTTTTTAAATAATAAGCATAACCACCAGTAGATATATAATATGGTTTGTCTATACATGTGCTTCTAATTACAAAGAGTGAATGCCCATTGCACACAGAACGGTGGCTTGTGACTATGTGTAGGTTGTGTGTATGAGCTGGAGAGTGAACATCTACACTCAATTTTAGTCTAATTACTTTATTGGGGCTACTTCTAGAGTTTTATGATGGTTTACAAATCAATAAAACTTGAAATCTTTTCTGGACCTTTCTGCAAAGGAAAACTGTTTCCTCAGTAGGGCTGCAAGTATGTTAACATTTAAAATGTCTCAATCTTACAATAGCAAATCCAGGGAATTGGTTTCCTACTCTCTCCATGCTACCTGCTCCTCTGCTCTTATCAGTTTGCAGCACATTTGACCATGAGGATCCTGCTTCTAGTGCTTCAAAGAATTCTTGTATATGTTGATAATTGTGCCAGCTCACTAAAACAGAGCAGAGGCAGATAGGCTAAAAACCATGTCTTGTTGTACCCCTGAACCAAATCACAGCTCCATTTGTGCAAAAGGAGATTGGTATTGTGGCAGGTTGGACAAACCTTGCTGTTACAGGTTGGGCGTAACCCCTGCCTTTCTTTCAGGATGAATGTAAAAAAGTGACTGAAAACACCAGTCTCCTAACCCAAAATACAGGCATGGCTCCACCAAAAATAAAGGCGAATGCCAGGCTTTCCAGAAATGCAAATAACCAGCGTGGAGGGGCTGTTGTGTAGACTTTGACCTAAGGGATGTGTGTGTATGTATGTAAGTAAGAAAAGCGGGACAGCACACAGAATGAGACAGCCCAGATCTGAAGACAAGCTCTGTGTAGCTTGAAAGCTTGTCTCTTTCACTAACAGAGGTTGGAAGTAACATTTTACTGGACCCCCATCTTGTTTCTCAAACACAAGCTCCATTGTGTTACTATATCCTTTGCAAAGTTGCTCTGTTGTGTCTTTATTGGCAGAGATCTGTGGATGGAAGCTAAGAGCCTGGTCTACAATGCAGTAGTCATCCCCATTCTTCTTTATGGGTGCGAGATATGGTTGATATATCGAAGCCATCTTAAATGGATGGAGTGGTACCAACAGCACTGCCTTTGGAAGATTCTCTGTATCAGATAGGAAGTCTGTTGCGCCAGTATCAGTGTTATCTCTGCATCTAACGTTACTAGTGTTGAGGTGAAGATTATGAATAGGGCCCTACCAAATTCACGGCCATGAAAAATGCGTCACGGACTGTTAAATCTGGTCTCTTGTGTGCATTTACCCTATACTATACAGATTTCATAGGGGAGACCAGTGTTTCTCAAATCGGGGGTCCTGACCCAAAAGGGAGTTGTAGGGGGGTCACAAGGTTATTTGCGGGGGAAGGTGTCGCAGTATTGCCACCCTTACTTCTCCGCTGCCTTCAGAGCTGGGCGGCCGGAAAGCGGCGGCTGTTGGCCGGGCGCCCAGCTCTGAAGGTAGCGCCCCGCCAGCAGCAGCGCAGAAGTGAGGGTGGTAATACAATACCATGTCACCCTTACTTCTGCATTGTTGCCTTCAGAGCTGGGCAGCCAGAGCATGGCAGCTGCTGCCTGAGGGCCCAGCTTTGTAGGCAGCAGCGCAGAAGTAAGGGTGGCAATACCATATCATACAATCTTTATTTCTGCGCTGCTGCTGGTGGCGGTTCCGCCTTCAAAGCTTGGCCCCCAGGCAGCAGCCGCTGCTCTCCAGCTGCCCAGCTCTGAAGGCAGCGCCGTTGCCAGCAGCAACACAGACGTAAGGGTAGCAGTACCACAATCCCTTCTATGATAACCTTGCAACACCCCCCCCCCCCAGCTCCTTTTGAGTAGGGTGACCAGACAGCAAGTGTAGAAAAGTCGGGATGGGGGTGGGGGGTAATAGGATCCTATATAAGAAAAAGACCCCAAAATTGGGACTGTCCCTATAAAATCGGGACATCTGGTCACCCTATTTCTGAGTCAGGACCTCTACAATTACCACACTGTGAAATTTCAGATTTAAATAGCTGAAATAATGAAATTTACTATTTTTAAATTCCTATGACCATGAAATTGACCACCAAAATGGACTGTGAATTTGGTAGGGTCCTAATTATGAAACATCAACTTTGCTGGGCTGGTCATTGTATGTGGATGGCTGATACTCATCTTCCAAAGTAAGTCCTCTTTTCTCAATTTAGTCATGGTAAGAGGGCCCAATGGAGGACAAAGGAAATGCTACAAAGACACCCTGAAAGTATATCTTAAGAAGGGAGACATAGATCCTACCACTTGGGAAGAGCTGGGTGGCAACAGAATCATACATCAAGCCTCGGTCCATTTTGAAGAGAATCGCCTTGCTCTAGAGCCTGAGAAATGGCAAAGGAAGAAAGAAAGTGTACAGCATCCCGGCTAGCAGTTGTGGTCTCTTCAAACAACCACCAGTCACGTATGTGGAAAAACAGGTAGAGCATGAAGTAGACTTCTCAGCCATCTTAAGTCTCATCAATGACTTTTCCCCCTGGCAGACATCAGCCTCGTATCCAGAGATAGCCGATGGATGGTTTCTCTATCAATATACAGTCAGAGAAGAAAAATTACACCTGAAAAGCAAGAGTAACGCCGCTTATGCGTAGGAAATAAATTGGGTTGTTGAGCTCAGAGTGACCAGTACTAAGTAGCCCATTTGTTTGACAGGACAGCATCCTCAAAGATCTTTAGATCCCATACAATGTATCTGGTGTGATTTTGAAAAGATTCTTAGTGACTTTAGGAGCACAAATCTTAGTGAAAGTCAATGTGATTTGGGCTTCTCAATCACTTAAGTGCTTTTGAATATCATGCCTTGAAAATCATGCCTACAGTCTTGACATTGTACTGTCTAGATGTAACCTCTTCCTAATCGAACCAATTCCTCCATAATTAAACAACAGAATTTGCTCCATCCTCGTTGCAGAAGGGGGGAGGGATAGCTCAGTGGTTTGAGCATTGGCCTGCTAAACCCAGGGTTGTGAGGGCAAAATCAGTACTTGGTCCTGCTAGTGAAGGCAGGGGCTGGACTCAATGACCTTTCAAGGTCCCTTTCAGTTCTAGGAGATCGGATATCTCCATTAAAAAAAAAAGTGTAAACCTCCATAAACTCTATTGCCTTTATCTGAGTTATTTTGCATTTAGGCCATTCTACCCCAGAGCAAAAGTTGGCCTTGGCATTTCCTCCCCGCCCAAGTTTTGCAGTATCTTGATTGTGCTGGGGTAGTTTTCCTGTACCCACCATTATTTCAATCTAGTCAAACACACGGGGATGTTTTTATGTGATGACATGAAGTAGTGACAGAAATCTCATGTCATGCAGCATACCCACCCAGCGCCATCTTACTACATTTCCCTCTCTTCTGTTTCTGTACTTTGGATTTATTTCCCTTGTTATGGGGGGGAGAAGTCGAGAATGACTTGCGTAAGGTCATACCGCTGGACAGTGGCAGAGCTGGGCACAGAAGAGCCCTGTTCTCCCTTCCAGGCTGATGCTCTGTGGGTAGGATTCCTTGAAGGGAAATGGGGGGAGTATCTAGGCGGGAGAGGGAAATGGTGTGGGGGTGCTTATGAAAGGAGTTGGGAAAGGGGGGAATTTAGGGGGAGGACTTTCTGCCAAGAATGAAGAGTGGGGGTGTTCCTGGGGGGAATGGGGGAGGGGAGATAGTGGGTGGGTAGGGGGTACTCCTGTGGGGTGTGTGGGGGCAGTTGCATTGTTTATGGCAAACACAAAGGCCAGCTGTAGGTGGGGGGAGGGGTGAAGAGCTGCGCAGAGGGGGGTGTAAGGGGTACATCCGGCCCTGGGGGGAGGGGAGATGGGCCCCGAGCGGGGTGGGGGAAGGAGACGGTTCGGGGTGGTGTGTGTGGGGGTGTGTCCCTGACAGGACTGGAGGAAGGGGATCTGGGGGAGGGGGAACGTGTGGGGCGGTTTGTGGGTACAGCCGACGCGAAGCAGGTGGGCAGATGGCGAGTGAAGGAAGCATAACCCATCCCGGCCGCTCCACTAAATGATGATGATGACGACGCATGCGCAGCGGTTTTCTTGGCTCATGTCGGGGCGGGCACGTGACCATTAATCCGACTTCGGCGGGAATCTCACCCTGCAGCGTCTGCAGTTACGGCGCGAGGCGAGGACAGAGCGGGTGGCGCCCGCGCGCGAGCCTCCCTCGGTCACTGGGGTGCGCGTGGCGGGGAGGAAGGAAGGCTCGCGGCGGTTAAAAAGCGGCGGCGCACGCGCACGGGTAGGCGGTCCGCCCCGCAGGCGGAACTGTACTTCGCAGACCTCCCCCCCCCCAACACACCACCTGCCTGTTGCTAGGCAGACTTCGCACCTGGCCGATCTCTGTGGGGCAGGCCTTTGAGGGGAGGGGGCTACAGTTGCTCCTCACTGAGCACTAGGGAGGGGGCAGGCTGCGCTGGCCCAGTTTACCCCCCCACCCTATTTTGGGGTGTTAGTGAGATGGGCTGAATTTACCCCTCCCCCTGCTTGGTGTTATTTTTTTTTGGGAGGTGTTGACCACCCCCTCCATTGGGGGGGGGAAGTGGGATCCATTATCATTAGGGGCAGAGCCCTTCCGCCCTCTACTTGACAGCCTCATTGGGTGGGTAGTGCCTTCTCCCGGGACATTATTGGGGGCCCTATCCTCCATTCTGAGGGGGGTTGGTATTGGGAGATTACACCCTGTTTTGGAGGTGGTGTTTCTGGTGGGTTATTCCCTCTCTTTTTGGAGGGGACCATACTGGGGGTGGGGCTCCTCTGTGGGGGATCGCCAAGTGGGATGTGATGTCCCCTCTTTTGAAGAAGTATTATGGACTGGGGGAGGGGTTGTACTCTCCATCTCGGGTTGGATGACTCTCTCTTTTACAGGGTGCTGTTTCATTGCACTCTTGGAGCTGTTGTTATAGGGGAGTACTTCATTTACGTCTTTTTTTCTTCTTTTTTTTTTTGAGGGAGTGGTTATGATAGCATTTGCTGGAAGCACACTTTGTTGTTGAAGGATTTATTAGTGATTGATTCAGTTTCTAGTTTGAAGTCATGTCAGGATCAACTCCAAAACAGACCTCCAGTCCGCAGACAGTTGCTGGTGTTCCGGATCCTGCTCCTGCTGGACCTGAAGTCCCAACTGACAGCTCCTTTGGTGAGCAAAACCTTAGCTTCACCACCACAGACCTCAACCTGGTGGAAATGACGGAAATAGAGTACACCCAGCTTCAGCACATACTCTATTCACACATGGAGGCACAAGGAAACGAAGGCGAAATGGAAGCTAGGCTCAATTCTGCTTTCTTCTCAGCTAGTAATTCTGCAGATCAACCTCAGCACCAGTCCTCAGTGAACACCAATCAAGCTGGCTTTTCATCCTACTCTGGGAACCAGTCAGTTTACCCAATTATCTGTCAGTCAGGTCTGTCTTCTGACAGCAATTCAATGGGTTCAAACCAATGTCTGGGGCACATTGACTTTCAAGAGCTCAGAATGATGCTACTTAGTGAATCTAATCTCCCTTCTAATGAAGTAGATAAAACACCTAATAGTAGCTCTGTAGAAGTCACAGGGCACAGTTTAGTAAGAGTTAAACATGGTGAAAATTTTGGTGGGACAAATAAAGAAACTGTACTTGTTGAAAATTCAGCACCAGCTCCTGAGCCTAGATCTAAATCTGCAGTTCGTGTTCGTTTGGAAGACAGATTCAACAGCATCCAGACAGAAAATCCCAGATGCCAAGAGCCACAAGAATCTGGAGTGACTCTTAACAAGTGTGTTGTCATTAACTTTAGTTTAAAGTTTACTGTTAAATTATATATTTTCATGTAGTTCAGTATTAATTTAGGCAGATTCAAATTTATGAACAGTGCAATGTTTTTAATACTCAAAATGACTAGCTGTGTGCTTTGGCACAAAATTAAGATCTTGAGGAAGTGGGGGCCCAATTCCCATTAACTTCAAATTGTGCTTACTTACACTAGGTCTGAACTTGGTCAGTTATGAATACAATACACAAGATAGTTGTGTAAATGAATTAATTTTCAACTTTATTTTTGACATCAACATCAAATGTAAGCAAAATATATAAACCAGAGCTTTATTTAGATGTTTGGTTTGAGCATTGGCCTGCTAAACCCAGGGTTGTGAGTTCAATCCTTGAGGGGGCCATTTAGGGATCTGGGGCAAAAATCTGTCTGGGGATTGGTTCTGCTTTGAGCAGGGGATTGGACTAGATGACCTCCTGAGGTCCCGTCCAACCCTGATATTCTATGATTCTATGTTGCATCCTTCTTACTTTGCAAAAAGTAATGGAGATTTCACACAGACTAATCAGAGGACTCTGGTTAGTGTTGTAATGTAAAAGTTTATCTGCACAAATCCGCTTGCAGCAAGATATGAACCTCAGACTTGCACACGCTACCACTTATTTGAATATTTTTGTTACTGAGCCTGTGTTTTTTATTACAACACAATATATACTTTTTTAGTTTCAAATTTAGAGAGCTGAAGGAAATTACTTTTATGAAGTCCAACAGTGTAATTTCACTGTACAGAATAAAATAATTTATTAAACAGATCCTTTTTGCCATTGAAGTCAGTGAGGTAAACAGTTGGCCCTTAATGGTAATGTATATTTAAAGTAAATGGAAGTGATTTTTTTTTAGTTATTGTCACTAGAAGAGTAGATAGCTGAAAAGGTTTCTACAGTTGTCATTTTCAAGTAACTGGTCTTGTTTTATTTTATTTTATTTTTTGTAGTTTAGTAACACTTATTCGTCAACCAGCAGAACTAATGAGTGTGCCTCTTCACCAGCAGCAGAATAAATGTACTACATTAGTGAAAAATAAGACTGCTGCTGCAGCTACTGCTTTACAGTTCACATATCCATTATTTACTATGAATGCCTGTTCTACTTCTGGAAGTGCTAACCCTTCACAAACACAGGTAGATTTTATGTTTTCTATTATTATTTGTAGCCTTCTTCTTTGAATCTTAACAATAGTCTAAATTTGTAAAAATTCTGCAAGATTTAACTAAAATACAATTTCATTTTAATTGATCAGATTCAAAGTTATTTTATAGAGTTTTGTTTTAAAAGGAACTTACGTAGGCATGTTCAGAGGGATTTATAATTTATGTGTCCTTTTAATATTCTTAAAGATGAAATATAGTTCTCCGTCATTTTGATTAAGTCCTTATATCTCTTACATGAATATGTACCCAACTGGCAGGACCAACAGTCTGATTTCTTTCCAGGAAGGTACTTTTGTTTAAGTCACTCAATTCACCGCTACATCAGTTTCCTTCACAAAGACATAGCTAGCTGCAAGTAGGTGGTTAGCAAGTAGAGTTTTCTCTTGGTTCCTTCTTTCCATTTTCTTTTGACAAAAACTCATGAATTCATTTTCACACAGTTACTACAAGCCAAGAATAATAACCAAAACTGGCAAGCAGAAACTGCCAGAGGTACAATAAAACTACACAAATGGTCTGAATGTTGAAATCACATGACTGTGGTACAGAAAAAAATCACAATTGGCATTTGATTTATCAATACAACTCATAGGATAGGACTAACATTAAAATACATATCAAAAGTATTATCCTCTTCTTTTCACTTAACACTCCCTAATTTCCTTTTCAGAACTCTGGCACATCATGTACTATTCTGGAAGCTGCAAAACATCAAGACCTTGGATTACCTAGAGCATTCTCTTTCTGTTATCATCAGGAAATTGAATCCACTAAACAAACAGTAGGCACTAGGAATAAAGCTTTACCTGAACAAGTTTGGATTAAAGTAGGAGGTAAATGATTTAGCTTCTGCTCACTTTGCTTTCTGTGCCACTCAACCTCAAATTATACTTCTTCTGACTTACTTAGTCGGTTTGTTTTCAAGGATGAATGTGCTTTTACTGGTTCCATATATGCAATTTGAACTCTACAAATAATCTACAGAATCAGTAGGTATTTGACAGACTTTCAGAAATGATCAACATCCTTGCTGGTTTCTGACTATGGTGTTTGCCGCTAAGTGCTGGTGTGGCAATCCACTTTATGAGGGAGCCAAAACTATCAGTGCCCCAGCACATCCATGTGAATTTCGAAACCTGAATTATCATTCTTCAGATTCTCCCCTTGTAGTAAGTCTCCACCTGAGGGGCATCAGGGGGATTTCAGAGCAGTGAGAACAGGGCAGGCCATGGCAGCAGGGCTCCTATAAAAATGTGTTGCTATAGTCAGTCTCATACAGCCTCTGTGTGGCTGCCCTCCCCAGCTGGGCAGATCTGCAGGGCATCCTGGAAAATCTGTGCATGTGATGGTTCTCTCTCTCTTTCTCTCTCCTGCCCCACATGTGACAATAGTTGTGCTAATGCAGCAGAGAACAATTAGGAGGAAATATCACAAGCTGAAATTCACGTTCCCCTTTATGGGAGCATTTGATCCTTAATTATTAACTTGATATTGCTCATTTATTGATTGACATTTTTTCCTTTGAATAGTAGGATGAAAAAGTTGATTGCCTCAACACTAGTTTGCATTTAGTAGTGCAGCAGTAATTATCTTGAAAATGTGAATTTCATATTTACAGCACTTTATATTTTCAAAGTGCTTTAGTAGAATTAGGCACTTAATTTTCAGATGAACTAATTTGAAAGTAAGAAGAGTTACAATTACAGAGGTCTAACTTTTTTATATTAGTTACAGATTAGTCCATCAAAATGAAAACTTACTTACAAAATCATAAAATTTCAGTGAAGCTTAATATTTATTAAATAATGATAGAGTGGGAGAATCAAAAATAAAGTACTGCTTTTTCCCCTTGTTTTGCAAAGAAGAAGCTTTATGTAAACAAGCAATAAACAAAAGAAGTCGCAGCAGAATACGCCAGTTGGATGCAAATGTAGACCGCAAACCTCTTAGTGAAATTCAAAATATATGTGATAGCCAAAATACTGCATCTGCACAAGGTACTTGGCAGTCAACACAGGTAAATTCAAGTATGCTGGCACAGAGTGGAACTCAGGGAGGAATCTCTCAGCGCCGGGAGAGACATAACCGCATGGAAAGAGACAGAAGGTAATGTCCATTGCTCTGTGAAGAGTTCCAACAAAAAAAATTTCTTAAAGCATAAATTAATTACAGTATACTAATTATATCATTTAAAATAGATTGTTGGACATGTTTTGCTGACTTTGTCAGCTGGGGAATGTGGCATTCTCATCAGGGTGGTAAGGGATTAACTCTGTGTATACAAATTTGCAGAGGGACAATAGGGTTGAGGTCTGTTATTTCTCACCTCTATACAGGGATGAAAATAACTTAAAGGATTTACCTGTATGCTGGAGTCCTGAGCAGCGGGGCGGGGCCTTTAAGTCCCCAGGCCCTTTAAATCGAGATTTAACAGGCTGGGAGCTCCGGCTGTGATAGCAGCAACTGGGAGCCCTGGGCCCTTTAAATCACCGCCAGAGCTACCAGCTGTGGAGGCGGCCGGGAGCCGCAGGGCTTCGACTGCGATTGAAAGGGCCCGGGGCTCCGGTCGCCGCTACTGCAGTGGAGCCCCAGGTCCTTTAAATTGCTGTCAGAGCCCCGCTGCTGGAGCCCTGGGGTAGCGGCAGCGGCCTGGGGCTCCGGTGATGATTTAAAGGGCCCGGGGCTCCTGGCCACTGCTACTGCTACAATTGAACACCATGGAAAAATGTCATTTGCTTTTCACTCCTAAATCCACGTCTTTTGCACAGGATATAACTGAGTATAGATATTCATTTGATACAAGCTTTTTGTGTCTTAAAGGCAGTTTTAAGAAAGACTTACGCTAGTAGAAATGAATCATATTGAAATGAGTGATTGCTAATACTGTAGAGCAGCCATAAACTGAAAGATCTCTGGGCAGGGATTGGCATTTATTATTATATATTTGTACAGTGCCAAGCACAATAGGGCTCAACCTGATGTGGTCTTTAGACACTATTGCACTGTAAATGTTAAATAATGACCACAAAGCAAAAATACAACCAACTAAGTAGAACTATTAAAATTTCTGTCTAAGGTTTAGCGCCCATGTATTAGGCCTCAATGGAGTCTCCCCATCGTGCAGTGATTCAGCACAAACCCTCAGAACTTGAAGCCTCTGCTAGCAGTTGGTCTGTCAAGCCCTGGCTAAAAACTAAAGCTGGTATCCTCTTTCTCTCCCCAATAAAAACTCGGAGGAAGGGTTGCACTGGCAAAATTGTCTTAGGGTGACTGCAACTCTTCGGAATGTAGGCAAATTAGCTGGCACAAAAGCAATGTAATTTACATTGACCTGGGCTAGCTTTGGTGAATCTTCCAAATATTTGTGTTTATTCCTATTCATACCTATCTAGTGTTGGTCCCCTTAAAATGCAAAACAAATATCAACATCTAAACAGCTATACAACCATATATCTATGTCAGCTATCTGGGTTAATTGGCTGCTAGAAATTATTATTTTGCGTTGACTGTAGGCGCAGAATCCGGATTTGTTGTGATGAATTGAATCTTCTGGTTCCATTCTGCACTGCTGATACTGATAAGGCAACAACATTACAGTGGACAACAGCATTTTTGAAATATATTCAGGAAAGGCACGGGGATTCCTTGAAAAAGGTTAATAAATCTCATACAATCCATCTTTTTAAATAGTTTCTAATAATGATCTTAAAATGGTTAAACATTTTAACTAAATCTGTATTGCATCACGAAAGACGCATGAAACACCTGTGTTGGACATTTACTTTGTCTCTTAAAAAACGTGGCTGAAGGATACAAAGTCAATGAACTGGATGTTCTTTTAATAGGTATTACTAGAATGGTTTCAGTTGAGCTCATAGTCTGTGTTGCATCAGATCTCACAAGCTAAGTAAAGTTTGATTTGGTCAATTAGAGCCCCACTCAGGAATTAGGGGAACCAGAGCAGGCTGTAGGTTTGAAGCCTTCTCTAAACATTCCACTTTTTATCCATATCTATCCTGCTCACTCATACACACTGAGTTGTTTTTCCCATTCCATCTTCTGCTTCCTATTCTAATCTCCCTGGTTTTATAAGTGAATTTATTTGTCTTGTACTTTATTTTATTAGAGTGTTCAGTAATTAGGGCTGTCGATGAAGCACAATTAACTCGCGATTAACTCAAAAAAATTAATCACTTAACTGCAGTTTTAATCACACTGTTAAACTAGAATACCAATTGAAATTTATTAAATATTTTTCTACATTTTCATATATATTATATTTGGTGTTGTAATTGAAATCAAAGCGAATATTATTTTTTATTACAAATATTTGCACTTTAAAATGATAAACTAAAGAAATAGTATTTTTCAGATCACCTCATATGTACTGTAGTGCAATCTCTTTGTCATGAAAGTGTAGATGTTTTTTTTGTTACAGAACTGCACTCAAAAACTTCAGAGCCTACAAGTCCACTCAGTCCTACTTCTTGTTCAGCCAATTGCTAAGACAAACAAGTTTGTTTACATTTACAGGAGATAATGCTGCCTTCTTCTTGTTTGCAATGTCACCTGAAAGTAGAGAACAGGCATTTGCATGGCTATTTTTGTAGCCAGCGTTGGAAGGTATTTACATGCCAGATATGCTAAACATTCGTATGCCCCTTCATGCTTCGGCCACCATTCCAGAGGACATGCTTCTGTGATGATGACGCTCATTAAAAAAATAATGCGTTAATTAAATTTGTGATTGAACCCCTTGGGGGAGAATTGTATGTCCCCTGCTCTGTTTTACCCGCTTTCTGCCATATATTTCATGTTATAGCAGTCTCGGATGATGACCCAGCACATGTTCATTTTATGAACACTTTCACAACATGCAAAGAAGATAGCTACAGCACTCAACCCACGGTTTAAGAATCTGAAGTGCCTTCCAAAATCTGAGAGGAACAAGGTGTGCAGCATGAAGTCTTAAAAGAGCAACACTCCAATGCGGAAACTACAGAACCCAAACCACCAAAAAAGAAAATCAACCTTCTGCTGGTGGCATCTGACTCAGATAATGAAAATGAACATACGTCGGTCTGCGCTGCTTTGGATTGTTATCGAGCAAAAACCGTCATCAGCATGGATGGCCGTCCTTAGCCACTTCTGGTGCCCTACGCAGCCCCCCTGTGGGGGGGGGGAGGCAGGCCTCCGTGGGGGGAGGGAGGGGCTGGCCCCAGTCCTCCATGGGGGGCAGAAGCAAGCTTGGGGGGACAGGGGGGCAACCACCCCCACAGCACAAGCTTGCGGAGTGGAGCGGGTTGGGGCTGGGTTGCTCCACTTCCCACAACTCCCCCCCCTCACTCATGAGGCAGCGGGAAGTGGAGTGACCCAGTCCCAGCCTGCTCCGCTCTGCCCCCCTGGCTCCCAGCCTTGGGGGGCCAGGGAGGAACCGCCCCCCCGAGCATTCACCGGTGGTGCGGCTAAGGCCCGGGCGTGGCACTTCCTGCTGCTGGTGAGTGCAGGCCTGCCCCGTGCTGCAGTCCTCAGAGGAGTGGGGGCAGGGCTGGGGCAGAGCAGAGGCGGGGCAGGGATGGGGGCTTTGTGGAAGCAGTAGAGTGGGGGCGGGGCTGAGACAGAGCATGTGTGGGCAGAGGCAGGGTGGGGGCAGAGGCTTTGGGGAAGGGGTGGAGTGGGGAGGGCGGAGCAGGGTCAGGTGCAGCACGCAGG